TAAAACCAGTTTTTCTACATTATGCTTCACTGTCACGGGTGTCCTTGAGTAAAGGGCACGCATAACAGGTCTCATACCACTTTCTATGGTCGAGTTGTTTTATTTGCTATTACAGTCGATTACATCACTTATCTTTGATTTTTTTGTTTTTTCATATGTATTTAATTGTAATAGCGAATACGGCAGAAAGTGGTATATTAAAGACATGACCTTACGTAAAATTCCTGTCTACTCTCTGAGCCAGATACGCTCGTGGCAGTGTGACGTAATGTTTCACGTGTAGAGCCGATACTCTGATCTACTCAGACTCGGGTTTTGCTGAGGGTGCTGATGAGACCTTGGCGAGGTCGAAACTGCATTATATTATTGTCTGGATAGGAACACCTTTTGGAAAGCAACGCTTTGTGGAAATGGATGGAAACGTAAGGCTAACTCATATCATTTTATACAATTTAAACTACCAGTCTTTAGTCAACTTAAACGAAATTGGTTGAATACAGTTCTTGTTGAAGAGCTACTAGTAGCCCCAAAAACTCACCACAAAAAACGAAAAATTAATATTATTTTTAAATTATTTACATGTAGTTATGTAAAGTTTTGTAATTATTTATTTGTGTGGCTAAATTTCGTGTTTTTCAGGTCTCTCTTAGTCGGTATACAATTTGAAGTATAATCGGATAGTCGAACATTTAGTTAAGAATTGGAATCATGAAATTTCAATTTCGTTAATCCAGTTTGCTTTCGCAAAGTTGTATTTCTCCTAATGTTATTATTTATAATGACTATTAATCCGAATGTTTCTATATCAATAATACAAACTCCTCAATTCCATCATATTTTTATCCATCACTTGACCTATTTATTTTGGCATGCCTTTTTTAATTTTCTTTATATTACTTAGGCCCTTTCTATTTTGCCCGCCGTCAGTCAATTTTTTGCCGATTGATATTCTGGGAAGTCTCTTCTTTGTAATCTTGAAAATGTTGTCCTTCCCTATGTCTCTTATATTAAATTTGAGCTCGAGAAAACATAAAAAATACTTATAGACAATAAATCCTCTGTATTTTGTTTAAATTTGTTAGTTCATAGGCATTCAACTGCCCTAAAGGAGCAGCTCTAACCAACCTTCACAAATAAAATTTTATTGTCAGCTTATTTTATTATGAGTTCGCTGATTAGCCATATGCTAAAAAATTTATATTTAATTTTTTCCAACCATTTTAGTTATTTGGAAGATGTGAAGCTCTCAAGTGATGGTGGACTTGATGGTCGTTGCCTTTGCTACGGTCGCCTATTACCTCACCTAGAACAAACTTTTGCTTCTCTATCGGAATCCGAATCAAAGGCACTCTCACAGCTCGCTTGCACTTTATGGGAAACTTTTTACCCTGTCATCGAAAAGAAAGCCATTGTTCAGTTCGACAAGAGCATCTCACGGGAATTAGAAAATCCACTGTTAAAAACTCCAAGCAAAAATCCTAATCTCCCAGGCATGAAACGCCGACGCGATATTTTTCCTATCTCCAGGTTTCACAAATTAAATGATGAACGTTCTCTCCTTGATCGACCCTCCGTTTGCCTGCACATTAACGACGCCAGTCTTCTTGACAAGTTTTCTGATTGCATGATACCGGAGCTTGAAGAAGAAAGGCAGCGGGATGAGGCCAATAACATTTCGAACGTAAACCAAAATGTAAAATCAGAGGGTATGTTTTTTTATATTTCTTTTCTTTATTGATTTGCGCTTGATTTTGATGTTAATGCTTACTTCTACTGCACTTCTTTACTCAATGTTCTTCTGGCATTTTGCCATTTGTGTTCTATGCTTCCCTTGTCGTGATGCTGCTTATTTTCTAGGACTGCTTGTCACGCTTTACCTTTTTCCTATTTTTTCCAACCTTAGATGGAGTTGTTTACTAGTCAATTGTTTACGGGTTATGCTAGAGGTCGTTGACACGTTTAGCTAATACGCTGCATTAATCGTAATTCATTTTAATTTATCTCCTTGGTGAAAATTAGCTTTCCAGTCGATGTTGCTGGTGCCGCAGAAGCTGCTTTATGACCATAATCTAGACTGCTATATTAATTTATCTATGTTAATTTGTCCATTTATTCTCAAGTTCTTTGTTCACTAAATGATTAATATTGGCTACGTTGAAACTTCTGACCCTGTTGTCAAGCCAATTGTCTACAGTTAATCATAACAGCATCAGCTATACATTGTGAATAGGAAAGGCCTTGAATGTTAGATCTGCTCTGTGACCGTGTGATGAAGTGCTGACGTCTCCAGAATACTCACGATTCGGTATCGGATAGACCTAGACAAAGTTAAAACTGCAATCCAATTCGGATGAGATTATCTTTTAGGAGGTAGGGGTAAATTAACTTAAGTGGCATCGTAAGGTTTACTCCTATCATTATAGTAAATTTAAACGACAATTTCTGAATCGGTGGCAGAATAGGACGACAAAGAAAGGATGGCTTGCTTCAAACCTATTTGCTTATCAAATTTATTTTTCTAAATTCTAATGAGACATCATATGATTTTGTTGGTTACTTCAAACTTAACCCACATGCTTGCAGATGAGTGGAGTTGATGCATAAAAAGGGAGTGGGTGCGGTACCTTTATTCAGACTGCAATTTTGTCCTTAAAATAGCAATTATGGACACGAAGGAAAAAAAATTCATTTTACATGCTACAGGATAGCATTCTCGGTTTAAAGCCTTTTTCGATCAAACTATATTAGAGCATTAATATAGAGAGCAAGCAAAATTGCTAACTAACAAAACACGACAGTAAGTGTTGCTTGAAAAATCATGAAAATTATTGAAGATGTGAAGACCAAGATGTTGTGGCCTCGGGTATGGTCGCAGTTTCCTTTCGACTTATAGAAG